GCAGTTCGATAACATTAATATATGTTGTTACTAACAGTAAGTCAGTAATTGTTTTGTTATAATTATAGAAATGGTTTCAACTTTATGTTTTGTACCATGTATATAATCCGAACATATAAATCATAATATAATGATTTTTCATAGTGATCTGAACTTAATTTAACATAATAGAATTTGGATTTTCTTGATTACAAAAAAAATCCTGAATTCCAAAAATATTGAATAAGTTGTACCATCGCATTATAAATGTGAGGGTGAGCATATGCCATATAGTTGGGTTATCGAACCACTACCAATTAGTAAAATACTAAAATGTAGTATAATATATTTCAGAAAAAATGTACTCGTCGCCGTCGTGAGAATTTTTTTATGGAACGATTTTAGCGATTTTTAGTTTTCAGCGTTAACCTCAAAACACACAATTTGTGCTCGTTACCGGTCAATTATTACAATTCGTTATGACTTCTCCGTCAATCACGACGACTTTTCATCACAGAACAAAAATAGGTACCCAATAGTTAATGCTTACTATAATATTGAGATAGGCACAATAAAACAAACAAACGGTACCCTGTCCCGCTTAATAGCACGTTAGTATAACACGATTCACTAATATTACGTAGAATAGGCCGTGTGACTGCCTTTCGGATCTAAAGAATTGCGCACGAATGCCATCACGGATATAAGGATAATAATAATTATTAAACTGTTATTATGATGAGCTCGGTTGAAAATCGTCACATAAACGCACGCGGCGCGCAAGTAGCCCGTCCGTTAGACAGCTAGTATAGACCCTTGGTGTACACGATCATGACAATAATATTATAATATGATGGGTAATATAATCAACGTACCTACTGGTAAAGTGATCATGGGCACTGGGCAGGCATATAATGTCGTGTATACTATTATTATTGTCGCTTCCCATTCGCATATAAATCACCGATGGCCGCGAGACAGCTACTTGATTTTTTTTTGGACGGATCCACTGACATGTTCATCCGACCGCGCGCTTAATGTGCTGTAAAGAAAATAAAAAATATATAACAACAACAATAATAATAGACGTAGGTACGAAGAAGAAAAGAACAAAAGTGGTTTAACACATTTCCGGAGTTTTGAACCGAATTATCGTCTCCGAACGATTCGATATACATTTTTTCTTGTGCTACACATGATACATTTTWACACTTTTATTCTAATAGGTACAATTGATCGATACACGGAAATTAATTTCGAAAAATAATTTTCTACAAAGTATAGTAATTGATCTCGCCGACATACCTATACCCGCATGTTAATAGTTACCTATAGTTACAATACGTACAAGAAAATGCAGGCCATTTTCCAAGGYCACCTATTATCTAGGTTATTGAGATTTGAAATGCATTTTAAATAAACAAAATATTGATTTTCTAAATTAASCTAAATGAAAAAGGAATAATATTCAAATATTAATATTCGTATATATTTTTWATTTWTTTTTTGCTTTTAAAAATGTGCTAAATAATTTAGTGCTTGGCTCATTTGAAACGATGTCWGCTGCAGTTACTAATTTTTCTTTTAGATGAACATCACAGCAAAAAGAACTAAAAATAGATGATAATAGAATCATGGTGTCGAACCGYGTTGCGGTTAATTTTTGATCCCTATTGCATCAAAGGCGTAGACACGTCTTTTGTTGTTTAGTGGTTCAACCCCCTTCCCCTGGCTAGGTTAGGACTTGGGAAAACTGTGTTTGATAATTTACAACATGGAAAGTTTATTAAGTATTTATTATTTATTATGTTATTATTATGATAAATCTCTCCTATATTAAATTCATATATTTATGACACTGCTTATCATTGAATCTTATCAATCGCGAATGAATTTTAAGCAATTATATTTACTACCACATTGATGATATTATTTACAGATTTTCCAAGTTTGAAAAAAATGCAAATAGTGCAAAWAGTTGATAATTTTTTTAAGTTTTAGATAAGTATAACTATTATTGTATATAATGTAATATTATATTATAATATTGTTTATATAATATTTTATACACATGGTACGTGTTGTATATGACTTATTTTAAAGGAAAAAAAATCAGCTCGATCATAATAAATAATATCGAAAAGATGTATATTTTATCACACAAATAATACAGTAATATTATAAGAGTTGAAAGTCTAATTAGACCGATTTCGTTGATAATTGTTGATCTCGATTCGTATAATGTGTACCTAACACAGTAATATCTATAATATGAAAACACACGATTTAGGAAACAACAAATAACTATTCACGTGCGTGCGTGTGCCGTGTATCTATAGTTGCTCTACAGACCGCAATGAATATCCACAAAATGAAAACGATGTAAAAAGATGATGCGAGGAAACGAAGACGATGCTCAGGGAAACAAAAAAATCTAGATCAAACGACCGTGACAGCAAGGTCAGTATTTCAGTAGGTATTCGATATACTACACACGCACCATCTTCGGACATATTAACGTACGTTAAATTTTAGGTATACCATCAACACTGCATGGTCGACTATCGTACATTATTATTATTATTATTATTATTGTTTTGTTACTATTATTATTATACACATTATATCGTATCGGTCGAGAATTCGAGATCGTATTTTGTAAAAAAAAAAAACGAATAGGTACGCTGAACACACTAAAGCAATGGAATTTTCAGACCGTGTAACAGAAGAACTACAAAAAATTAAACGTAGAACACAACATTATTATATCCGATCCAAAGCGCATAATAGTACGATAATATGTTATTTTCAGGTAAACGTATATATTGTAGGTATATTGCGTTACAAACCATATATTTTTCTTTCATTTCTTTAAATATTATCATTATCCTACAGAGGCTTATATGTACTATATATGTTTACGCTAATGTTAATTTATTATGATATTGTATTACTTTTGAGTTTTTGACTGCTTTCCGTTCCGATTTAACACACGTGCCCACAATAATGTCGATGCGTTCACATAGCGTGTGTGTGTCTATATACCCTTGCAGTAAGTGTATAGCGTGAGCTCGAAGCTATATACGTGTTTAATTATATGCTTATATATACCAAATGTCATTTTACGTTTTTGTCACATTTGTACAGCTGCGTCAGAGCTACACATAACATATTATTATATTAATATATTATGGATAATATTGTATTAAAACTTAACGCGACGAAAACGGAAACCGACCGACATGTCAYAGCCGCGGTCGTTCGGCCGTAAAATCAAGATATTTAAACCAAAACATTTATTCATGTACAAGTCTCTTCTGGTATAGTATATTATAGATAAATACTAACCACTAAAAAATGAGATTAGCGTCAATAGTCGTCTATGCGCAGTCGGTTCATATTAGATAGTCAAAATAGGACTGATAAATATTGATTCTCGATATAAACGCATTAACTCTTAACAAGTCGAGTAAATCTAATATATCTGTCGTTTACACTATCTCGCAGAACGGGATTCGTATGTGCTTATTATTAATATTTTACTGTCAACTATAAAAAGTCTGATATAATACGAATAGAATCCTGCAGCGATATCTGTATGCATTTTTAATATAATATGTAGGTAGGTACATCATTATACATTATTATTATTATTATTATTATTACTATTAACCACATTTGAAGAGAACGATGAATGCGTGTTTTGTGAAATGGAAATGCGTATTGGGTGTATAAAAAACAACAACAAAGTAATAATTATTTTAATTTTCACACAATATGTATGGTATTTTGCAATGGGAAATATCAATCTTGTCGTAATAATAGCGTATTTTACTACCTATATTGCCGTATTAGGTATATAATATAATGCTTAATCCCAACGGATTTTTAGGCAAGYTGGTCAGTGATTATACAATACCAAATTATAATTTTTGTATTGCCGAATACGTTTGTCGGCTGTGCAGTGTGCACGCACGTGATTGTTTACTAAAAATACAAGAAAGTTTTATAACAATATACGTATAAAATGTATAATAGATGTACATTGTACGGCGTATAACTTTCGAACGTTGTTTTGCTATATTAGGTATTATATACTATCGCTATTAAGTTGAGTATTAACTTATATAAGTCAATAATATACATATACCGATTACCGGCATAATGCTAATTACGATGCAATGGCGTGAATATATAGATTTATGAATCATGGAAATAATGGTTTAAAATTAGTCAAAATATTTAAAAGTGYCGTTTTGTAGGCATATAAAAAGTATGAGTAAGATTATATCTTTAAAACAAAATAAAAAATCGTTAGTTTTCGTTTAAAACTTAAATTATTCCATTAAACTTTGAACCTAAAATGTATGACATAAAAATATTTACATGTTGGATTTTTTTTAATGGTAAAAAAAAACTATAGGAAATCTTGTATGTATCAATTTTTCAAGCTTTAGGTATTAAAATTAAAACTTTCATGTATTTTTAATTAAAGTTTTAATAATTTACAAATTTTCGTGATTTTGAAGAATTTTGTAATTACTTATAATTACATCAAACTCGTGTAAAAAAAAAATTTGGGTTTGTATTTTTAATATTTTTAATATTTTTATATAAGAAATTTCGAGCATTCTTACTCTGAAATAGGATCAAGATAAATGAGAAATAAATAATAATTAGATATTTTCAAATATTTGCTAATTTATTGTTAAATATTTCAAAAACAAAATAGCTTTTCATTATAATGTGTACCCATATAATTTAGACGAATTTAAATAATAAAGTCAGAAATTAATTATCATAATTATTATAACGCACATGATAACGCGTATGTCGGTATGGTCTATGGTCTAGAACTCTAGAATGTGTATACGTCGCTCGGAGACTTCGACGTTGTATCGTAGGCGTCGTAAACATGGTGAATGAAGTAATGGACCAGGAAGGACGAACAGGTAGGGCGCTCCTCCGTTCACGAGACCGCGGACCGGCCGACCGGTTTGTGCCGAACGGCCGCAGTAACGAGCTTCACGCTAATATCGTCGGTCGACCCGTACARTAGTCTCTCCGGTTGCGTTTACCAATTAACATTATTACCATTTTTTTTTATCTATTTAATTTTTGTATTATACCGTTTTTTTTTTGGATAAAAAACACATCGCTAAATTTACCGAAAACGACGTGTGTACGAAAATGATAATACTACGTTAATAACGCGTTCGATTCGTGTCCGGCGTCGATCTCGTATAAGTTCCGATGGAGTAATCGTAGTTTTGATAAATAAAAACAAAATGACGTAAGTTTAAAACGAAATAATATCCATAACATAATAACAATAACATAYATATTATATAATATATGTAATATCATTATACACCTATATATCGTTTTTTTGATCTATATAATATAACAAATGTGTCAAACAGTTTACGAGATAAGACACTATGTTATATTTGAATACGTTTTGAAAAGAAGGCCGAATTAAGGCTAAATATTGTACATAATATTATTATGTATTCATATACCTATATAGCATATACAGACAGTGGCATACCAATTATGGTAGTCCAAGGACATCACGCGTGTGTATATTTATTTGTGATATAGAACGGCCGAGGGAATTAAAACCGCGAGGTTTCCGAACCTATATAKGCAGGTACTAGCTAGGTACACTACAATAATAAACAATAAATAATAATAATATGTACTAAACATAATAATAATATAATACTAGATAGGGACTTCGTCAATGCTGGTACTATTTAAATTGCAGTCTGCACACTATCCTGCAGTTTTCGAACCCATAATTGTTCTTATTTATTTATTTAMTTCGTTTTCAATGGTGAAATTKTCACAGCTATATATTATACTAAATATAATAGTATACCGCCTATAATAATATTAAAATAGTATATTATTTTAGTACACTTCGTATACCTAGATTTATTACTATTWTTATTATTAATACCACCGTGTTTATGTTTTTCTTGCTGCGTTTGCGAATAACCTAAGTCATTTCTCGATCGGCCGTTTACATAATAACAATTTTTTTCCTTCAACATTCTACCTAGTATATTATATTCACGTATACAGCCCGAGGGGCCGCATGCTTTCACGTGACTTAACTTATATATACACCTTCCGAAAGACTGGTCATCGTTAAAAATGTCGTAACATCGTTAATATATATATATATAAAACATATTATATGTACCCAGCTGTGCAGCTTGGTGCTTCCACACGGGAATGATAACGATTCGCTATGATGCGTCCTCCGAAACGTGTTACGAAATAATATATTTGTGTATACGACATGGCACAAACAGTCAATAGATGTGCATTAGCATAGGTTTGTCTATACGAACCGTTTGGCATTTTATTTTTTCTTACGATTATTAACGACTGTATAAACTCGTCGCGTTAAGCATGTTTTATTATAGATATCCGCTTACCGAATACAAATACAGTATAATAGCCATTAGCCGTAGGTACAATAATAAATGTGCAGACCAAAATTTCACTGAATATTAATTACACATTGTGCAAATAATTAATTAACAAAGACGTTCATCATTACTATCACTTTGAATAAAATATATTGTACATCATATAAATAAATAAATTATTGTAATTATTTATATATATTTATACAAAATTAATTATCAAGTAGGTACCTACTTATTGTCTATCGAGTATGCAGATTTGCTGTTATTGTTGTTGCATCTATAATTATTAAGTTGCATATCTGCAGAGAGATTATTTCGTAATAAAATATATCACTTCTCTTTACGGCTATATAGTTATGTAGTGTTTTATAGTTATATACTGTATTTGCTTATTTACACAATCTTTTTGAAATCAAAATACCCCATGACCGGGATTGGTAAATTGAGTCCCGGGGAAAAATAGGTAGTAGGTAAGTTGAGTCCCGGAAAAAATAAGGTAGTAGCCAGTAGGTAATTTGAGTCCCAGGGAAAACGATTTATATGCATTTAAAATTTAAAAAATATGCACTATAAAAATTTTATTTGTGGACATTAATTGACTGCAAGTATATGATTTTGAAAATAGCAATATGCATTTTTATAAATTATATAATTATTTTTTTCTCCAACGATAAAATAACGATACACTCTTAACAATACAAAAGCACTCACAGTCATTAAAACTTTGTAACATCGTACCTTCGATAAGGAAAAAAACCTAAGGGAGCAAATGACCAAATACACCAGTAATRTTATTACCCGATTTGAGTTTATTAAATCAATATCAATGAAGTTTTTACCAAGTACATGATATAAGTATGTATATATATAATATAATAATAATAATAATAATTTTTAACGATAATAAATTTTTTTGATTAATTTGTAAATAAATGGAATGTATGATAATATAATGTTATGTATAATAATAATGACATTTATTTTTATTTTTTTAATTAATTTATATTTTTTATATTTTTAATACATATAAATCTAAATATTATATCCTTATATAAATAGCTTAACATAAGACAAAATATTTACTTACTACCAATTTTTCCCGGGACTCAATTTACCAATTTAAAAATGCACCAAACTTATCTCGGACTCAATTTACCTAGGCCCCCCCAGGCCCCCCATGACAGATCTTAGCATATTTTTAATTTTAACGTACCTATGCAATTTAAATTTATAATATTGAAAAGGAAACTAAACCGCTTATTAATGTAATTGGACGAAAGTGTACCTGTCTATGTCTGTGTAACGATTATAAAATTTGAATACAAAAATAATCTTTCACTGATTAAATTAAAAATATAGGTACTTAAATGTATGTAAAAATAATAAACCATTAAATTATGTAAAGCATTTGCATTTCCAGTAGATACCTCCTATACAGTATACACACGCACGTATRTATAACAAAATAATAATAATTTTCATACCTTCAAACCCCTGATCSTCTATATATACTACTTCTCATCGAACCGTGATTTTTTTCATTGTCTTCATAGTCTAATAATTCATCTACACGTCGTCTGGTTTTCTTTGTTTACAGAATATACCTACACTATATGTATTACATATATGTCTGCTATGTTTAATTATAAACGAGATAATGTATATTGACTGTTCTTGGAAATCGCAACTTTGAAATTCTTTGTTTCTATATATATATATCTGTGGTACCGTGGTACCTATAGCACCTCCCACGAAGAGCGGGAAAATCGTTCGTMGTTTCTATATTACCAATATACATATTGTACCTACATAATATAATAAATACCCAACGAAATGCCACTGCCAACGTTCTTTACGCAGTCGCCACCATAATATAATAGAGTATTACATATCTAAAGACTGTATACAAGACGTGTATTATACCGTTGCATGTAATCAGGACTAGAAAAATGTGCATGGCAACACAAACATGCAACGCGTGTAATATAGGTATACTACACCTATAGTTTGTCTGATCGCCCGTGGACGTGATCGTTTTGACCGACCACAAAAGTCATGTACCTCATATCTACACCGGCAGCAGAGGAAGCTGAAGATACCGATAGGCCCAATAGCTGCATAGCCACACGCGAAGAACGATTCGACTCGGTGAGGAAAAACTTCGTCGTCTGTATACGATAATGGTTCATACATTATATTGTATATAATTATAGATAGATATAGATAGATAGTGATGGTGGTAAGAGAGGGAGGAGAAGAGAGAGAGAGAGATATAGAACACAGTGATAGGTATAGTAGGTATACCGTAGTATACCAATACCGGGCTATATCTATACGTGACGACACTCTCACGATCGACAAACTCGAAACGGTCATGAGAAAAATATTATATTGCTTTGGCCACTGCGGCGGGTAATTTACTACGTCTCCGACCAAAAATAATAATCGACGGATTTGACGACTAACCTTAATGGATCCGAAAATCGTTTTTTTCCTTTATTTTTCGCCTAGTCACAAGTCTCGGAGGACGCAGGACATACGCACACGCAACCACGGCAAGCGATTCGATCCCGCGCGACGAAACGGGCGAGTGTAATAATGGCATAGGTATACCTACCTAATAATGAAAAATAATGATAATATAATATTTTTACATTAGACACCCGCGCGCGGATAACATAATATAAATGTGCACTCTAAACCCTAATGCGTAGCCGTAGTCACGAATCTCATTTCTAAACGTTTATGGCGATAAATTTTCGTTAATCGCACGATATAGGTATTAGGTGTGTATGGCGGCGGCGGTGGCGTGTATACCAAATACTTACATTATAATATGTAATAAGTGTACGCATTGTACCACACGCTCGGTATATCGGTATATATATATATATATATATATATATATATATATATACGGACATAGTAATAAGAGTATATATACCTACCCGTCCTACCCTGTACATATTATATACCTGCCCACATTCCAATATCCAATCTGTCTGCACGAATTCACGAACGAAATCTAATAAGCCCCATCCATTGCTTCATATATTATAGTGTATAGCTGTAGAATTGTGTAGGCATATACTACCGAAATTCTACAATCAAACCCAAAATCGCTTTGTAAKTACATATTATAATATATAACCGATTACCGATATGAAGTATAATATGTTCACAGATAAAATTAAATCACAGCGTGTATTCGGAAACTATTTCATTTTACCCACGCATAACTCATATTGTAAACTCGTCGTATTCATATGTTATACCATTTATTTAATAATAATATTATAGTCTATTATCATACCTAACTTATAATTAAAATAATATGTCGTATTTTTAAATAAAAAAAAAAAAATCGTGAAAAAAAATGTGAAGTTAGGTTACCTGCCAATTACTTAAACTATTACTAAATTTCATTGTGAGTTAGATATTAGATATTTAATATTTTTTTCCATAGRAATTTTAAACGTAGCTCAATTAGGTAGGTATATCAAATTAAGGTGTCATTTATCTGCTGAAAATAAACGTGGCCATCAACATCAAGTAACTTGCTCAGCTTTGCAGTTGGTAATTGGCATATTTGGCGTAATATAGAGGTATATTGTAAGAACTATTGTGAATAACGACCGTTTGAATTGTCCGGCGAGGATTCCGCTAACAATACCAACACAAATTAATGGCTATATTACTCGTACATCACTCCCAACTCCCAAGCATCAGATTTAATTTTTTTAAATATTTTTCACACCGAATTCGTGTGATATATTATTATACATAGGTATTAGATGGTATACATACGATTCAGGGTCTTGGACCACACCCAATTGAAATTTCAACTTTA